TCCCTACTCCGTAGTCCAAATGGAGAATTGTAAGTATCCTGGTTGTTTCCCTGTGCTGGAGGGAAGATTTTTATTTTTACATTTTTTCTGACTTACCCTTTTTGTGAAAATGTAGTTTTTGGTCTTATTTGAGGGGTCTCAGTTCTATCCTCCCTACCTTCGGCAGTCTCTATTCTGATCTCTTTATGGGTGTTAAGAGCCTAGGCCCTCAGTTTACCAAGACTAACAGCACCCCTCCAGGTAGGTATTATGTCAGCTTATGTGGTCATATCTCTGCTTTTCAGTTCTCTTTTTTTTTGTGGGAGAGGGTGCAAGGGGGCTGGACGTTTCCCTTCCTTTCTTACCAGCTTAATTATTCATTTACAATAAAGTTCATCAAATTTCACCAAGCATTTCTAAATGCTTTGGGGGGGAGTGCGTATGTGCACGTGCGCATGCACAGGTGCATGGAGAGGGGTCAGACTATCCATTCTGCCATACAGAACACCTTCGTATTCTCAAACATATATTTCTTGCCCTATTTTTAAATTTAATTTTTTGAATGAGCAATATATTTATATATTATTAAGTATACACTGTGAGTATACTCACTCACATTCCTTTCTCCATCTGCCTCATTTCTCCCCTCAGCCTTTTTTGCTATGTTTTCTTATAGTCTTTATGAGACTTTTGGCCTGGATTTGAATTCACTGCATATTATGAAATAGGCAACTATCCAATGTGCAGCCTGGTGGTTTATGAAATGTTAGACGATGAGATTATCTGGGGAGAGTAATGTCTTGACAAATATATAAAATGACCAATGACATTCTTGGTGAACCAAAGAGAACCATTATACCCATTACGATTTTTGGAGCCAAATGCTTTTACTGGGTATTTGTTTATTTAATCCAGAAATGTTTGTTGAGTGTGTTAGGCAGTGAGGTACAAAGCTGAAGAAGTGACCATTCTTGAGGAGATGGGCATATAGACAAGAAGCTGGGTTTAGCATGACACATTTTGCCAGGGGCATGGATACAGGTTATGCAGCTCTGAAGAACCATTAACAACACTACAGTGGGAAGAGCAAAGGTGAAGGCAGTGCCAGCTGCTGGTTCACATGAGTCTCATGCTGCTAGTAATGAAGAAAAAGATGATAAAACGGCAACATTATATGATGGCTTTATCCTTAAGATGGCACTATAAACTCACAATTCCTTTGTAGAGAAAGAATAAGTAAAAATAACTGGGTTTTATCTAAAATTTCACTGAAACCTTATAAACTAGAATGGCTTTTGTGTGTCAGAGACTGTTCTAAGTGCTCATATGTATTATTCTCATTTAATCTTTACAGCGACCTTAAGTAGGAACATGTATTTGCCCCATTTTGCAGAGTAGGAAAAGGAGCATGAGTGGGAGTAAGTGACTTGCCCTCAGTCACATAGCTTGTCAGTGGCAGATCCAGGATTTAAATGGAGACAGCCTTGTAGAGCTAGGGTTGGGTCTGGAGCTCACAGACCCCTCAAGCCCATTGTCTAGGCTGGGTAACAAACCCTTCACATGCAGGTCTACGAGCTAGGTAACCAGCAAATAGGTCCTTGGAGCCACGGTTGAAGAAAAAGTAGTGTTTGTTCAGCATACACACACACACACATGCACACACACACATACACACATGTCTGAGAGTTAGGCAGTCCAAAGAGAAACTCAGAAACTCAACTGCTACCAGCAAAGTCCAAAGAAAAACTGAGCGGCTGCCAGCAAAGTAAACATCTCTTTTTAGATGTTTGCTCTCCCAGCCAGCACTGCTTCACAAACTCTCCAACACAAGAATAGCGACAAAACTAAAAAGATACATTGGAGTGCATGTGCACTAACTCCACCCCCCCACACACAATTTGTTTACAAAGAACATGCTGCACCACACCCAACCAGACCTAAGGCAAGGGGGCCTGACCAAACCATTCCATTTTTCCAGCAAGCCTGAATCCAGAAACTGTGTGTCTAATCACTGTGCTATAACCTTGTTATAGTAATACACAGGTTGAAAATGCAGTGTCATTAGAGCTATCAGTTACAAAAACTCATTTTTTCCCAATTCTGGTTAAATTGCATAGGGAAACTGGTCTCCTGCATGGGAATGAGAAGTCAAAGACCCCAGATGTTAGCCCTGAGAGGGTGAGAGAGGACTTGAGCAAGGCCTCTGTGACCCTGCATTAGTGGGTCTCTGCTGGTTCTCACTGCTCTCTCCAGACTGCACCCAGGAGGCTGCCCAGCCCTCCCATAGCATCCTGGGAGTATGACCACTTGGTACTTAGCACTTTGAATTATGTTGACTGGATTATTTCTCTGTTTTCCTCACTAATCTGTGAGCATCTTTGTAACCTCCATGCTCAGTATCATGCCTGGAGCATAGATTTCTCAAGAAATCTTTGCTGAACCTTTTCTTCTTCCGTATTAAACCAAACCCTGCATCAGAGGCACTATTTTCTCAGCATCCTCTCCTTCATTCCCTTCTATATACAAATAATCTCTACTGCAGACAACAAATTAGAGGGGAAAAGGCAATCTGTGTGAGAAAACAGTTTCTATTTGAAACACTTGTATGTTTTTGCACTGCTGAGAACCACAAGAAATGCAAATACAGGGCTTAACTAATTAAGCAGTACCTACTAGCTAGCATGCCTTCCCCTGGGGCATTTCTAAACCTGAGAAAATTATACTGCAGGTAATATTCTTCTACATTTTCATCCAGGTGAAATATAGTTAAAATAAATGCCAAGGACAACCTGGAAAGGGAAACGAAGCAATAAATAATTGAATCTTGCAGAAGGAGTGTAAATGAGGGAACGCAAGTTAATCAGCTCACTTTCTACCCCCCCTTTTCTCTTGTAGGAACTTCAGGTTGTTTCTTAGCAACGACTGGTAATAATTACCTCCTTCCTTTCTGCCTCAAATCAGTACCAAGTACCTCAACCCCCACTTTTTTTTGTCCCAATTCCCAAACCTGGCGTCTCAAGTAGTATTCCTTGTTTGGCAACTTTTGGGGATATTTTGGTAGCCAAGAAATCCTCTTGAAAGAGGGAAACTTAGAAACATGTGATTAAAGTTTAAATCAGTATTGAGGATGAAGTTGGTAGGAGAGCTGGCAGGTTCAGGAGGCAACCTTGTAAGGATTAGGACACAGGTTTGGCAGTGAAACACCCAGGTTCAAACCCAGGCCCCACACTAGCTAGATCTTGGACAGATTTAGTTTCCCCATTTATAAAATGAAAATACACTAGGATCTACATCATGGGCTGTTGACAGGATTAAAAGAGCAAATTCATGTAAAGGTCTTTGAACAAGATTTGAAAATAGTAAATATTTGTTGGGAAAATATAGGAAAAATGGTCAGGGCCCCTCAGATATTCAGAATCTTGCTGAGCATTTGATGTAAATAGGCACATGCACTCAGGTGTTTCTTGGTTATCATCTAGTGTAATTGCACATGTGCACCCAGGTGTCCTGGGTTATGGACTTAAGTATAAGGATGAGTGGCTCTGATCCACCAGACCTCCCATCCCTGGGATGCCCCCTCGTGGGGGGGGGGGCCATGGGGAGGCTGCTAGTGCCCTCGGGACCCTCCACATGGCCACTGCCACCACCAGACCTGTAAGCTACCGGACCTGTAAGCTGCTGCCATTGAAGAAGCTGAGGACTGAGCTCATGTTATCTGCCAACAGCTCCTGGAATCTTTCCCAATTACCTAGCATGGACCTGCGTGTGAGGGGTCTGGGGACCCAGCCTGGCATGTGAGGGGTCTGGTGACCCAGTCTGTGCAATGGGTTTGAAGGGTCTGAGGCCTAGCTCTGACAATATAAATGGAAACTTAGTATAACTAAAATAACTAAAATAATGAAACATTTTGGCTTTATTATGATTTAATAGTTATGATTTTAGTTATGATTTATAGTTATGATTAAAACTATGATTTAGTTATGATTTGCCTTACTTTACAATATTCAACAAATGTTAGCTACGATTATTACTATGGATTTATGTCACCAGCAAGGAGGCCAGTGAATGACTTCATTCATTCACCACATATTTACTATGCACCAGATGCTATGTTAGGTCGTGGAAACACAATCTTCATTCCTTTGTTCAGCAAATACCACTACAGCTCTGGACAGGAATAATGCTTTGAGGGAACTATGATGCCTCGTATGCAGTTGAATTGGTCAACATGTTGAAATCTTCCTTCCCTAAGGTTTCAACTCTGCTTAGAAATTTCTCCCCTATGGGTAATTTTAATCATCATGAATAGAAAGAATTCGATTCACAAAACTTTGTTTTATTATACAATTTTATTTTCTCCATGAACCTCAGGACTTTTTTTGTATACTTAAGTATTTTTTGTTTTCTAAGTAATGTGCCATTTAGAGAGGTATAATGCTTTTAACAGTTAAGAGTTTTGACACACCTGAGTAGGAAAACCTCCCAAATCCATGAGAAAAATGGACTTTTGGCCACACAAAACAGTTAAGAGGTATGGGCTTTGGGGTCAGAGACACCTGACTTTTAAGTTCTTCACTTCACAGCTGTAGAATCTTAAGTAGTTTCTTCACTCTTCTGAGACTAGGTTTTCTTATCTGTGGAAAGAGCTAGTAATATTTCCATCTCAGAAGATGTTGGAAAGATTTAATTAATTCAACAAATATTTTTCTGTTGAGCACCTACTATGCCAAACATTTTCTGGGTACTGAGAATATAAAAGTAAACAAGACAGCAGTAATCCTTGCCCTTGAGAGTTTACATTTTAATGATATAAAATTTGGGGGAAATTGAGATTGTTTATGTGGAATAAAACACTCTTTAAAAACGAATTATTGTTTCAATGTATGCAGTGCTTATGTCACTAATAAAAAGGCTTAAGAAGCATTTCATTGTAGCAGAGATCTAAATTAGAATCTGTAGTTATGTAGTACAGATATTCTAATAATGACAAATAATGTAGAAATGAGTTAATTGCTAGTGAAAAGATTTTCAAATTATCTTTTATTAGGTAATTTTATGATTTCATAACAGCTATTTGGGTACACAAACATATATACACAATTTTCTGAACAAGTAAGTAAAAAGCAGTAGTTTAGTATATCTGCTTGAATTCATATTACTCAAAACCTTATGAAAACATTTATTATAAAAATCAATAAAATTGTTTGACAAGCTTATAAAAATTGTTTGGTGTGTGTACATAAACATTTCCAAGCTTGCTTTACAAAAAAAGAGTGCAATTTCTATTCTTTTGCTCATAGTGATTTTCAAAGGTAGTTCAAAGGGGGGAAAAAAGAAGGTCGCATTGCCTTCAAATACAGCATTAATTAATACTGACTTACCCTGGGACATTCATGAAAGATTCTTTGTTATCACATATGGTAAAAATATTAAAAATTAATACTTCATTTCTATGAATAAATCATAGAAAAGAAGACTTTCATTTTCCCAGACTAATTTGTTACCATGAAAAACTGCATTCATTCTGCAGATATTACTGACACCCCACATTATTTACTTTAAAAATATTTATGATACTTGAAATTCAAAAGGAAACCACAAGACCTATTCTCCTCCCAGTACATTCACTGAATGCAGATTTAAGTGAGCACATCTCATTTTGATTGTGCCCTTTATTTTTGTACTTTATAATGACTACAATATAGTACATTTGTTTTTTAACTGGTTAAAAATTAATGAATGATCTTTGCAAAACCAACAGCCTGTACTTCTAGTAACAGTTGTCATAGCAAAAAGAAAAAAAAAAAAAAGCCCTGAGTCAGTATTTTTTGCAAAAGTAATAAAGAAGGGTGCTCTGAAGTTATTTTATAACTTACGAAATGGTTAAGACTGTCCAGTAATCATTTGTTTTGTTTTCAGTTGATCAGAGAGGTATGGCCTTTGTGTAGTTAATCCAATTCAGATCATTTCTTAATACTCAATTTCATTTAAGTCCTCAGAATATCCTGATGATTGAGTTGTATCTTCCATGTCTGTCAGGAAAGACAAGTAAACAATAATAGTTTTCTCTATTTTCATTACAGAAAAAATATTTAATTTGCATTCTTATACATTGAGACTATATTGCAAAATCCATTTTCAAACAGGCTTATATAAATGGGGAAAATATTATTACCTGCACAGGGTCCTGCCTGAAATTTAACATCATCAATGGCAATATCACTTCTTATTGACACTCCCCGAATGGCTTCAAAAATTATCTGAAAAATAATGAAGTTTGAATTTAAAAATAGAGTTATTCTGCTAAAACAATGCTGGTCAGGGCACATCCATGCTTTGTGAGACTGGAAGCTTAGCTTGTTCTTGGGGCCCCCTCTAAGGAAAAGAATGCAAAATTTCAAATTCAAAGTTAATTACTAAAGAGAATATGTATTTGGAATTTAAAGAAATTCACAATAAATTACTCGAGCTTTGGAGATTCAGCTCCCTTTCTTATGCGATTTCTTTAGGTAATTTCCCAGAAAGGATTACCTGGAAACATTTCCCCTCCCCTCCCAGAATACTCTACTTCCCCACCTAAAACACTCTACTCCCAGCATCTTCCAGCACTCACGGGGCCTATGAAAGCAAGGCACCCAGAAACTTAAATTTCCTTAGGCTGTCCACAAATCTACCTTTGGGACTGGTATGAAGTGGAAAAATTTAATGTGACTGATGATACCCATATATGAACAAAAAGCATAATAATTAAATTTACCAAAAGATAATGGTTCACTTATGTTAAATTCTATAACATCAAAACAGCCAAGGGAGAACAGGGAATCAGTTTCATGACTTTAGATTCTTAGAAGAAAATAACTAATGAAATATTCTGGTTTTAGGAATAAGAGATTACTTTAGCAGCTCTAAGGGCACCCAACAATGGTTAATAAACTACTGAATCCTCCAGGGAGACTCATGGGTAATGAAAATTGTCCAGAAGACACATTTGTTCTACTCATTTTATGAGCAAATGACTCTCCACTGGACTAGTTTATGATTTAAATTAAATCATAAAGAAAGCCCTTAAACTAATTTCATTTAATCTCCCCCCAAATAAATTGAATTATAATGATATAAATTGAATAATTAATGTTTATGAAACTTTCTTGAAATTAATGACTGAAGGAAGCTTTTTATGTGGCAAAAAAACATTATAAATTCTAAGGACACAACCTGTGATGGCTAATTTTAGATGTCAATTTGACTGGGTTAAAGGATACCTAGAGAGCTGGTAAAGCATTATTTCTGTGTATGTCCGTGAGGGTGTTTCTGGAAGAGACTGGCATTTGAATCAGTGAACTGAGTAAGGAAGATCCACCCTCATCCAAGTGGTGGGCACCATTTAATAAGTTGAGGGGAGAGATAGAACAAACAGGCAGAGGAAAAGCAGTCTCTCTGTCTTCTGGAACTGGGACACCCATCTTCTCCTAGCCTTGGACATCAGAACTCCAGGTTCTCTGGCCTTCAGACTCAGGAACTCGTACCAGCAGCCTCCCCATTGTGCCAGCAGCCTCCCTAGTTCTCAGGCCTTTGGACTTGGACTGAGCTTCACTACCAGCTTCCCTGGTTCTCCAGCTTGTAGATCACATATTGTGGGACTTCTCGGCCTGCACAATCACATGAGGCAATTCCCATAATAAATACCCTCTCATATATCTATATATCTATAGATTGGTTCTGTTTCTCAGGAGAACCCTGATTAATATATAACCCTAAACAAGAATCCAAATAAATGGCAAAAAGAGGAAAAAACTGTCCAAACACATTGCCTTAGTCTGTTCAGTGTTGCTATAACAGAATACTTGAGGCTAGGTAATTTATAAAGAAAAGAGATTTATTAGGCTTGTGATTTTGGTGGATGGAAAGTTCAAGACTGGGCAGCTGATGAGAGCGTCAGGCTGATTCCATTTGTGATGAAAAGGGGAAAGGGGAGCAGGCATGTGCAAAGAGATCATACAGCAAGAGAGAAAGCAAGAGCAAAACTGAGCAAGCCAGACTCTTCTTAACAACCTGCTCTAGCAGGAACTAATCCATTCCTTTGAGAGTGAGAACTCACCCCAACAGGAGGGCGTTAATCTATTCATGAGGGATCCGCCCCCATGACCCAAATACCTACCTCTAGGCCACACCCCCAACACTGCCACATTGGGTATCAAATTTCAATATTAGTTTTAGTAGGGACAAACCACATGCAAACCATACCACACATGGGGGTACATATGAATGCAGTTAAGAAGCATTTTTGTTTTTTGAACAATAAAATCTCTGTTTTTTAACCTCCAAGTCTGCAATGGGAAGTATAATAGACAAATTGCCTGATAGAATTATATTCTGAATAGTCTGTGATTTGGCCAAACCCTTGATTTCATACAACCTTCTCCTTTGACTTTCCTTAATACTTTAGTGATGACTATTTTGTAGCACTAGGATTTCCTCTTTGTATTACAGATATGTAGTAGCATCTTTTGTGTTTTCCACATTAAAAATATTCATCTGGGCTGGCCAGTTAGCTCAGTTGGTTAGAGCACAGCCTTGTAATACCAAAGTCAGGGGTTCGGATCCCCATACCAACCAGCTGACAAAAAAAATAAATAAATAAATAAATAAATAATAAAAATAATGGGGCCAGCCCATGGCTCACTTGGGAGAGTGTGGTGCTGATTACACCAAGGCCACAGGTTCGGATCCTATATAGAGATGGCTGGTTCGCTCACTGGCTGAGCGTGGTGCTGACAACACCAAGTCAAGGGTTAAGATCCCCTTACCGGTCATCTTTATAAATAAATAAATAAATAAATAAATAAATAAATAAATAAATAAATAAATAAATAAATAAATAAATAAATAAATAAATAAATAAATAAATAAATAAATAAATAAATAAATAAATAAATAAATAAATAAATAAATAAATAAATAAATAAATAAATAAATAAATAAATAAATAAATAAATAAATAAATAAATAAATAAATAAATAAATAAATAAATAAATAAATAAATAAATAAATAAATAAATAAATAAATAAATAAATAAATAAATAAATAAATAAATAAAAATATTCATCTGACTTATCTTTGTGCTCTAGGACTAACCAAATCTATCCTATAGCAGCTGCTGAACAAATACTTGCTTATTTATAAAATAAACACAACAAATGTAGGATTAAATCAGATAATATGTCTTTGGTTCCCAAACTGTGCACTGAAGCACTCCAGGGTGTCCAAGTGCACACATATGGATGCTGTAGGATAGTTTGAAATTTCAAGGGAAATACAACATATTCAACATTTAGCAAATACCATGTGAACTACTAGTTCAAGGTCATTCAAAGTTTCAACATTAAATTGTCCTTTTGATAACATTGTATCTTTATAGAGCTAAGGGGTTTTGGTAGCTGCTGTAATTAAATGCATGCACCATGTAAAAATCAACGCAGAATATTAAATTAGGGTGCTGTATCTAATCTGATTCCAGGGTTTGAGAAGTTATGCAGAGCCCAACAGGTATATACATTCTATTAGTAAATAATTTTGGTTGTTTAAGAATTATGTAAAAAATATTATTTTTTCTCTCAATTTAAGTATTATTTTCAAATGGCTACCAAGTTGTTAGGACATAAATACTTATTAAGTTGCTTGGAACTCATAACTTAATAAATGGTAATAATAATTGTGTAATAAATAAAAAGGAATTTCTTTTGGTCTAGAGGCACTAGGGAAATAATTACGAAGTCTAAGGGCACCATGAAGAAGAACGTTTGGAGACCTGGGTCTTAGCTGAGTACGCAACACATAGGAATTCCTAGTAAATGTTAGGCAGTATGATTAGCAATGTAACTGATGGAAATATTTCAGTGACCTGAGAACTTGTCTAACACTTTCTTTCAATGATATCAAAATCTGAGAAAATGATGAGAAAATACCTGAAAGCACAAGAGGAGAGATAATCAGGGAATTCAAAAGAAACAGAATGATTTTGTGGTTTTAATCCATCATGAGTCAGGTTCTGCTTGGCATTTTAATAAATCCCTTAGAAAGAAGCCTGATTAAAATTTTGCCATTTGATGCGTTCCTCCTACAAGGATAATCTGATGATTGGAATGTCTTCAGAGGCCACCCACATATTTTCCCCACAGGATTAGATTCAAATGGCAGCAGCACTACCACACTCTAAAAGCCTTCTACACCTGCCCGCCCCCACTGATGATGTACACATTTACTTCCCTAGCTCTCTTCTCTTCCCTGAACTCCAGTCTCATATCCTACTGCTTACCTCACATGCCCATTTTTATTTCTAATGGTCTTCAAAACTTAGTATGTCTGAAAAAAATACCTATTAATTTCCCTCCTGCACACACTTCCCTCACTCCTATAGATCTGCCCTGCCTAAAGTCTTCTTCATCTCAGTGAATGGCATCTCAATTCTTTCTAGCTATTGCTCAGGGCTTCTGATGACATCTCCTCACCTCTGCTACTTAGCCCAAGCCACCATCCTCCTGCCAGAACTACTGCAGGAGCCCCAAAGTCTCCTTGCCCCTGCTGGAGAGACCATTTAAAACTATAAATCAGATCATATTATCTTAAAGCCATTTGATGCTTTTGGAATAAATTTCAAACTCTTTACCACACCCTCCGAGGCTTTTCATGATTATCCCAATATTTCTCGGATGTCATCACCTGAATGGCTTAACTTCTTTAAAAATTAATATTATTTCTATTTGATAAATCATTATTATATACCTTTATGGGGTAAAAAGGGATGCTTTGATATATCTATACAATAAGAAATGATTAAGTCAAGTCAATAAACCTATTCATGACTTCACTGATCATTTTTTTTTTTTTGTGGTGAAACACTTGAAATTCATTCTTAGTTGTTTTGAAATATATAATGCATTATTATTGACTACAGTCACCCTGCTGTGGAATAGATCACAAAATTTATTCCTCCCATCTATCTGAAATTTTGTAGCATTTGACCAACAACTCCCCATTCCCTAATCCCCAGCTTCTGGTAACCATCATTCTACTCTCTACTTGTATGAGTTCCACTTGACTTCTTCATAGCACTTGTCACCTGATGTTATATTATATATTTTGGCTTACATTTTCTACCTCTCCCTCATCAGAATGTAAACTCCAAATAAGTAAGAACTTTATATTCATTGCAATATCTTCATCACCTAGAGTAGCAAGTGGTCAATAAATATTTATTAAAATGAGATATTTTGGTCTCAAACTAGAGGAGCTCAGTCTGAATGCCTGATGTAGCTAGTAAGAATACCAGTTTTGCCATGGTGATATGCATTAGAGACCAGGGAGACTCAGGAGGGAATTTATGTTTAGAAACAGTAACAATATCCTTTTACATTTTGGTACTTTAAAGTTTACAAAACCCTTTTAAATACATACTAGCATTTGACCCTCACTCTAACTCTAGTGATATCAGCATGTTGGGAATTATCACTCCATTATGAAAACGTATCAACAATCTCAGAGAGGATGTGATTTCTCCAAATCATGCAGTACTTGTGACCTCAGGGGAATGAGGATATTTTGGAACTTCTATGGTGGGAGACAGTATAGAACAGAGACTTAGGGATACAAACTTTGGAACCAGGCAGATCTGGGTTTGAGTTCTCACTCGGCCACTTACCACCCGGACATTCATTTTTCCCCATCCAATAAATGGAGCTGTAAGAGCAATTAAAAAAACTTATGTAAAGCTCTTAGTACTATGAATGCCTGGCTGTATTAGTCCATTTTTGTTGCTTATAATAAAATATGTAGAACTGGGTGATTTATAAAGAAAACAAAATTATTGCTTACAGTTTCTGAGGCTGGGAAGTCCAAAGTCCATCTGGTGGTGGTGACAGTGACCCAGGGGTCTCACTTTGCAAGATGGTAGAAGCAGAGAGAGCAGAGAGAAAGACAGACTCTCCTCTTCCTTTAATGCCCTCAGAACCATGCCCCTGACCACCATTATTAATCTATTCACTACTGCATGTTCCTACAATCCAATCACCTCTTCAAGGCCCCACCTTTCAATTTCCATAATAGGATTTCCCGCCCTCTTAACAGTCACAGTGGGGGCTAAGTTTCTAATACATAGAACCTGGGGGACACAAGTCAAGCTTCAAAGAGTTTGGGGGGGATATAATTCAATCCACTACACTGGCACATAGAAGATGGCTCATCATTGTGTGCATGAATGTGTCTACATTGTGTCAGACACTATAGTGTTTTGGAGCAACTAGTTCAGCCCAGTCTTCCTGTAGTTTGGGATTCCTGAGGGAATCACTAAATCCAGAGGAGAAGATCATATCTGCTCCATTCTAAAGCCAAAGGGTAAAGTCTGGAGTCTTTCTTCCGGAATGTAAGCCAAAAATCTCGAGGGCCATTCGGTACCCTTTGAACTTGAACATCCCAAGATGCCACCCCAGATGCCTTGTTACTCTGCATCCAAAAACATTCCAGACCAGTTACCAGCAAGTCTGGTATGTGCAAGGCCTTATGCCTGACCCCCAGGGCTTGGATGCTGAGAAGTCACCTGTTCCCCAGAACTCAAATCTTAGAGCACTTGTGTGTCAGCATCACGTGGGTGTGGAATATCCATAAAGCAAATGTACTTCACAGGCCCTGGTTTACCAAAGCCTCGCAGTTTCAAATATTGACCTTGCAAAGGACAGGGAATTTTCCCCAGGCTATAGTCTCTGTTGTAAGATAAAGAATTGTAACACAGCAAGGTTGGTGGCTCAAAGACAGACGGGTTACTGATTGATATGTAAAGATACTAGGAAATTGCTGTAAGAAGAGAATGTTTGCTAAGATCAAGCTTTTGTTGGTGGATCAACTTAACTTCTTGAAAATTGCATTATGAAATGTCACCTTGCCTGTCTTACTGAATGTTACCAGCATCTATTGTTAAACTTGTTAAACTATACTTAGCAAAAATCCCACCTATGTTCTCTTCCTGTAACTTCCTGGTCTGGAGAATAAATGCAGGAAGAGAACCCCAATTCGTGGTTAATTTCCCAAATGGAAGGAATTCCTCTATCTTGAGGGTTCTGGGATATTAACCCCTTTTCGGGGCTTCTCACTGCTCAGAAGAGATGGGTTTTGTGTAATCTTTGGTGGCTCTGTCACCCAGGGGAAAGGGGGTGACAAATCCATGGGAGGCAAAGCAACACGTGGGAGTTTTAAAAAATATCAATGTTCAGGCACCACTCCCAAAGACTTAGATTTATTTAGTCTAGCATAGAGATTCTCCATCTTTAGTATGCATTAGAATCACCTGGAGGGCTTATTAAGACAGATTTCTGGGATCCCAGAAACCCCCAGAATTTCTGATTCAGTAGTTCTGAGGTGGGGTCTGAGAAATTGCATTTCAGGTGAATTTGCATTTCAGGTATTGCTGATTCTGCTGGTATCTGGACCACTTTCAGAACCATTTTAATAGGGTAGTAGTATGAGTGTCCTAATAGCCTAACAAAAATAATCCATCAACTCTGAATGATAATTATTTATATTACTAAGTTCCTGAGCGATCCACTTTTGTTCTGTAATCAGGCATTAAATTACTATCAAAATCATTCCTGGGAATTTCTGATATTCTTTACTAATTTTCTAGACAGTTTATCCATGCTGAGATAATGCACCCTTCCTGGATAATGGCACATCTTCTCTTTGTCATTTGCTCTTTAACAATGTAGCACTCTAGATGGCACTACAACCTAGCCACCTGAGGTTCTGCAATCTGGAGAAAATTATTTTTGATTGTGAGTGGTGCAAAATAAAGCCCTTATTTTGGATACCTCTTCGCAGGAAGATCTGGTCTCAGACCAGGCAGCCAGGGGTTAAAATTAAGGACTGCTGATCCAGGAGGTTATCAGCCAGAAGCCAGTATAAAAAGGAAGCTGGCTGTTAGTTGGAGGTCATGACTGAGAATTCTACAGAGCAATTTTAAGAACAGTCAGGAATCTCTGAAGGTTATCTTTTCCCAGAGCTTTCTGGAGCTTTAGCTCAAGGTAGGCAGAAGAAGTCGGTGGCCATCAGAAGGCAGCTGCTGTTCTCTAGACTACATTGGCTGCTCAGCCCCACCTGTTGGAATTTAAAAGGATCTTTCCAATTGCTGTCCAGATTCCATTATGATCATGATCACCTGGGATCTAGGTCTTCTATACTTTTTTATAGCACATAAGGGGACCCAGGGGGAGACCTAGGACTTAGGATCAAGACTCTCAAATTCTTCTGAATCAATGCAGTGATGGAGGCAAAGGCTTAAAAAACTTACTCTGGACCATACACACTGTTAAACAGAAGTTGAAAACAGAAGCCCTTACGTGCATGTGGGTAATGATGAGTAAAAGATGCAGCTGCAACAACTAATTAGGTAATACCATATCTAGGAGAAAGGACAATTTTGTTCTGAAGACTTGCAGAACACATAGAAATATACTGGACACCCATAATCTTCCTAGATGCACTTTCATCATCGAATTGCAAAAAATCACTTTGTGCACGAATACCCCAAGTTTCTCTCCTCGTCTCATTTCCCATTCGCTGCTCAGATTTAATCAATATACAGACTAATTATGTTTACTCTTAAACTAAGCCTGCCTTTATTTATGATCCTGAAAAAGAACAAAGTATTCCCCGAAGTAGCAAGAGCAAGCAAGCACATCAGAAGCACACACAGGCGTTTCCACCACTCTCCGCTCCTGGCTCGGCCTACCTGGTGCTGCCTCTCACAGCTGTACTCGATCAGTGCCCGCAGCCAGGAGATGCTCTGTTCTCCTCTTCTCTTCCATAAGAGCGACTCTTCACCATTTTCTTCCTTTTTCACATAAACACTCAGCAGGCCAGTTCCTGCCCCATACATGTGGTAGAAGAAGGTCAAGCAGTGTTTTCCGGGGACGCCTCGCAGCGACCCGGACAACAGGTGTGCTTTTTGTCCATACACCATGTGGGAGGCCTCGATGTACATGTAGTAGCCTTGAGAGCAAAGCAAAAGCAGGTATTGTGAAAAAGGACACGAAGAATGTTTTATTCACTCATAGTGTTCCAGGAAACATGAATGACTTGGCCACATAGTGTACTGAGAGAGGATTTTATAATTTTGGAGAATATGTATAATCCAAGGAGAATATGCTACAAAAATTAAACTATCAAAATGTTTTTTTAATTTAGTGATTTATAATTTGGTTTAATATACAGGAGTTAAGTAACATACCAGAATTATGCCTCTGATGTGATGATTAACACATCAGAATTTATCTTACTAACTCGTGGATGATATTCTGAAGTTCTAGACATTCGATCAGGGGAGAAAGCATGGTAAGTCAGGTAGATCTGGGTTCAAATTTTGACTCTCACATTTGTTGTCTAGATGATCATGATCTAATGAATTAAGGGTTGATAATACCTGTGCTACAGAGTTGTGAGAATTCGATAATGTGGGACATATGCTGGCAGGTAATGCATATTCAAATATTGGTTTCCTGTTCTACCCACTTCCTAAAATTTTTTGTGTCACTTTTTTTAGTCTTGAAAAAGATTCTATAACATTTTAAAACTGCCTTCCCAATTTCCTTTTCTCATTTTTATTATTATTATTTTTTAATTTGCTGGTTTCTGGCAGAAACAGGATTAGTCTGCATGTAAATAAGGCAATGAGGTGCTGGAGCCAGTCCTTTCCCAGCTCCAAGTAACAACACACTGGTAGCATGAAATGGGCCAGGATGGGAGTGTATGCACCACAGAAATCGACATGTCTACAAATCTGCATTCTCTCCCCAAAGAGAGCCAGTTGATATTAAACAATTATCATCATGTCACTGAAATAAGGCTAGATATAAATAGCAATGCAAGAGCTCTTTTCTAGAGTAATCCATGCTGTGCACCTGAAGCCCATTTTTAAAAGCCCTGAACTCTACATTAGTAGTTCTTAACCTTTGCTCATTTGATGAAAAGTTTAGCTCTCTTCTACATGAAAAAATACACACAAAAAATGTTTGCATGAGATTTTATTACCTTGTTTGGTGTTCTGTTTGTGTTTGGACCAAATTTTTTGTCCCCCCAAAATACATATGTGGAAGCCCTAACCCCAGTGTGATAATATTTGAAAATGAGGCCTTTGGAAGATAATTAGGATTAGATATGGTCATAAAGATGGGGCCCTTATGATGGGATTAATGCCCTTATAAGAAGAGACATCAGAGAGCTTGTCCTCTCCCTCCATGAGCATGCGTGCCAAGGAAAGGCCACGGGCGCACCAAGCAAGATGGTCGCTGTCTGCAAGCCAAGAAGAGAGCCCTCATCAGGAACCAAATCAGCTGGCACCTTGATCTTGGGCTTTCTGGACTCCAGAACTGTAAGAAATAAATTTCTGTTGTTTAAGACACTCAGTCCATAATATTTTGTTATGGCATCCTGAGTGAACTAAAACATTTGGAAATATTGATTTCTTTTTTACATATATGATGTAAAAAACAATCTTTATAAAGCATCACCTCTCTCATTATTTCAGGCAGAAATTAAGGGCCAAATTGAGGGAAAAAGGAAAGAGATACCAAATAATAGATGCAAATAAAATGGTTTCTAGGGCATTTTCAAAAATAGTTTGAAGTTTAATCATCGAATTCCAATCATTTCCCAAAATATGGCAATTGAAATATCCCAACCAGAACTGGCTGGAGGTCTCACCTATGCCCCTTCAAGGCACTCCTCCTTTCTTTTCCTCCTATTTCCACAAATACAAATCTGAGAAGTCCCACAAAATTATTAAAAGGGTGGGAGAAATTGTCATTGGTTTTAAATTGTGTGCACTGTGCAATCCCTTCCCCAGTGTTCTACGCAGTGAAGTTTACACCCTGCAAAACTGGGCTATCAGAGTCATGGGATATGGCCTCTGTCAACTATTCATATCCTGAGGAATGATGCTGCCCCAGAGAAGCAGAATCAGGCCAGAGTTCTGTGTCTTTCACTTCAGGCTGCCTGTAATCAAGCCATGCTAGACATGGATCCCCAGTCTGCAGTGAGCAAAAAGAAATCAGACATCCTTCAGGTAGTCTAAGGACTCCACACATTTTAGCCCTCCTCAAAAGTAAATTTTAATTAGAAGGCTATTTGGTTCAAATAAAAATTAAAATTGTGGCAGTGCCTCTGGCCTGGCATGTCACATTTGACGTCCAGTCAATTTTAATTTTTCCTTTCATTAGCAGTAATTTCATTCAGATGCATGCTAAAGGGAAATGGCATAGCTGCCAATTTCCCCATGGTCTGCTTTAAAGTATTAAGGAAAAAAATGTCAGTGTTTCTGGAGTGCTCACTAATGACATCCTCATTACTAAATCCAAAAGTCAGCTTCACTCCGTATCATTTTTTGTCCCATCAGTAGCATTGGACATAGCAGATCACGCCCAACCCCTAGAATTACTTTCTTACCTTGGCTTGCAGGACACTGTGCATGTGCTGTCCTGCCTTCTCTCCTACCTCACTGGTCACTCCTTCACTGGTTCACCCTCTTCCCTGACTTCTTGACTTCTGAGTGCCCCAAGGTCCAGTTTTGAACGTTTCTATTCCTACTTACTCCCTTGGTGATCTCATCTTGTTTCAGGGCTTTAAATACCATATATGTTATCATATCCCAAATTTAAATTGTCTGAAATCTAGACTGGTTTATTCAAACTGCCTAATGGACATCTCCACTTATTGTCAAATAGTCACCTCATACTGACCATGTTCAAGACTAAACTCCTAACAGCCTACAATGGATGAAATGTCCAGTTGTCCAGGTCCCAAACTTCTCTCACTCTGCACACCCAGGATGTCAGGAATTCCTGTTGGCTCTACCTTCAAAATATGAGGGTACTTCAAAAAGTTCATGGAAAAATAGGTATTATCTTCTAATTCTATTTTTCCACGAATGTTTTGAAGTGCCCTCATACATGCAGAATCCAGTTGCTTCCCTTTTCACTGTCTCCACTGCTAATACCGTGGTCCGGGCTTCTATCATTTCCCACCTGGATTAATGCAACAGCTTCCTAACTAGTCTGTCTGCTTCTATCCTTGTCCCCTACAATCTAATCTCAACACAGTATCCATATTATCCTTCTAAAACAAAAGCAAAAATCATACCACTCTTCTGCTCAAAATCTTCCACTGGCTCAGTATTTTGAAGTAAAAGCTGAAATCCTTACCATCGTCTGTAGGGCCCTATACAATCTCCCAATCATTCTCTTACCTCTCTGATTTCTGCTACCTTCCTGTCTTACTACCTTTCTCTTTACTCTGTGTTGCTTGGCCACACTGGCCTCTATGCTTTTCCTGGAATAAGATAGGTATGCTGTCACCTCAGGGTCTTTGCATGTGCTGATTCTGGCTCTTCTTCCAGATACTCTCAGATCTTGCTCTCTTATCACCTTTAAGTCTTTGCTCAGTTGTTAACTTTTCTGATAGACCTATTCTGACTATGCTATTTCAGACTGCAGTTCTCCTGTCCTGACAGTCCTCTTGTCCTATGCCCTAATTTATTATGTTTTCTATCACATTTAATCACCTCAACATATTATATAATTTTCTTATTTTTTTATGTTTGTCTCTTCCCTCTAGAGTGCACAAATGCAGGGATCTTTTGTTTGTTTAGTTCACTGCCATGTCCCCAAGTCCTAGAACAGTATTTGGAACACAGTAGATGCTGAATAACTATTTGTTGAATGGATGGATGAATGCATTTTCTTCCACAGCTCTAAGCCACAAACCAGCTTGACAATTTCTAAAGCACATGGCTCTGCCAAGGTCACTCCAAATGTGAGATTCTTGGCAATAAGATATGCATTTGACTAGGACGTTCCAAGGGAAAACTAGAACAAATCCAAGTTTTGATAAAATTGAAGTCTTATCAAAGCAAATGTTCCCAAACTAGTTCCACACCATTATTTTATTATTTTATTATTATTATTTTTTTTTGGTGGCTGGCATGGGGCGATGTATTTTTAAATTAACACACATAAGATAATTCTTTAACTTAGTTATCTTCATTCTTTCACTGACAAGAAAATTGCTACACAAGAAGCTCTGCGGTTTTTGCATATTCAGCAATGAAAGGAACTTTATTGTGCTTGCTTTTCTTTAACATCTTCTAACTTAAGCTAGGCTCAATGTAAACAAATACATATATATATAATCCTAATAAAATGACATGTTTAATTCCATGAAAAATAAGGTTAAGGGATGAAAATGAGTGGATATATCACCTAATTATGTACAAAAGAATCCCATGTTATCCTATATTTAAGTTAGTGGCACAGTGGACTGAAACGATTCCTTAATACATGTTTAACTTTAATAACATTTCCTCCAAAAAATAACTTTTAAGCCAACAAGAAAAAAATCAAAGAAAAAAAATTTTGCACCTGTCTTCGGAGCTCTCAAAAGGTCCTCTTGAATCCTAGATAAGGACCTTAGCTATAAATGAAATTCTCAAGTGAGGTGGGGGAAAGAGTCCTCTGAAAGATGCTGTCACTGGGGAACTGGAAAGTATAGACTATTAGGGCCCTGAAACATAAAAGTCTTTTCAGAAAAGAGAGGAAGCAACAGATTTATCATGAATAAGAGATGACCTCAGAACTTCCTTTCATGGTGATAGTTGTATATTCCTAGTGGTAAAAATATGAGTCTTGGCCAGGATTACTCTGAGGTCCTGGAGGAAAGGAAAACCCTTAATCGCCTCCAGGATCATTCGACTAATTTCTCTCTTTCATGGATGCAAGTCACTAATTCATTTTGCCTTGAAAGAGGCTCTACCAGACAAAGCGGGGCTCTAACTAAATCAGGGATGGCTGCACCACCTCCTCCATCCATCTTCTGTTTTTTTGCACCAGACACACCTCCACAGATGTAACTCCTGAAGTCTACTATACTGTCAGTTCATGCACCTCTGGGCCTCAGGTACCAGGCTGAAGCTATTAACCAAGGTTTCCAGTTCCAGAGAT